TATAGTTATAAATAGAAAGCTAGAAGCGTCTAGCTAGCTAATTATTTTATAGTATTATATAAATTATTAATATATAATAAAGAAATAGTAGCTTATATTCTACTAGGTCTAAGTATTATAAATAGAGTAATATTATTTACTTAAGAATTCATAATAATAATAATCCTTTATTAAAAGAATAGTAGTTAATTAAAGTTATCTATAATAGAAGATAGCATCCGCGTTTTACTAGTCTAAGAGCACTATAGCATAATAGGAAGGAGATCTAGAAGAGATTATATAAAACCCTCTAATACTAAAGTTAGAGGTTATTTAAGTAGCAGGCAACTATGTTTATTTATTTATTTATTTATTCCATTAACGTCCTGTGTGAGTCTAAGACTATGTAGGACGGCGCTAGCCTAATGCTAGCGCGGGCTAGTGATATAGTTAAAAGATATGTTAATATGTTTCCGGTTGAAATCTGTGGGACTAAGCCTAATGCAGACTAGGTCCATAAAGTAATAACGCTATAATAATAAAATCCCCCAGGGCTCTAAAAACGCATAGCTAATAAATAAAAAGTGAATTAAGGAGTGGCAGAAAGCGAAGGCGGTTAGCTAGCATAGCTGTTTCTTATGCTGCAATCGCGCTCTTATGCATTCTGAGCTAAAATTGGGAAAAGTCGATAGATTTAGTCAGTGGAAGTGGGCGGTGAGACTTCTAAGCCGTATACCGTAGTATATGCTTAGTTATTATTGAATTCTGCCCGTTTAAGCCGCTATTTGCAGGTGCTAATGCCCGTTTCACCTAAAAAGGTTAGTAGATGCTAGCGTCTGATTTTCGTCTCGAATAGGCTAAGCATGCTAAGCCTAAATAGGACATTGTCTTTTAGTCTTTTATGTTCTTTACTGTATTTAGGGCATTATAGTATAAGATGCTATAGTGATTTAGGCTTGTGACTATATATGTAGTGATTAGTGGGTGTTTTATTAAATCGTTTTAGGTATGTCCCAAAGTAGCCGTGTTGTAGCTTAAGCTGGAAAAAGGCGCTAGCAGTGGATCTAGCCGTTTTGGGAAGCTATATTCGAGAGTGAATTTATGGGTTAAAAAAGTCGAAGTAGTGGCCTTTACTGCTAGCTAGAGTATTCGCCTACGCATGCCATTGTATTTAGTTGATTTTTATGCCTATATAGGCATAGCTTATATGGGCAGCCAGGGCGGTCTGAGTGGTCGGAAGTGATTTAGACCCTAATTTGGCTAGTTTATCCGCCTCTTTATTTCTATTAATATCTTAGTGTCCAGGGACCTACTCTATTACTAGCGTGGATCCATTTTAGGCTATTTTGGTGGTAGCTGCAATAGCATGTAACTAGTAAATTTGGCCTGGATTATTAGAAGGCCGCGCTAGCCTATAAATGGCTGCTTGATTATCTACGTATATCCGAATATCCCTATTTGGGCCTAGTCTTATCGCATCTTCAAATGCTAGGGCAATGCCTTCTAGCTCTCTATTATAGACGATTTGGTGCAGACTTATATTTCAGGCTAGTTATATAAAAGGGCGGCTAGCGCATTTATATCCTGCTAGTCCCACTCTAATTCCAGTGCTTTTAGGCATTTATAACCTATCTAAGTAGTATAACACCTGATTTAGTAGCTATGTCCGCATTTAGTAGCGGTGTGCTGTGGCAGTTTCCTCTTTTAGCAATTTAGCGATTTATATGTCCTAGGGGATAGAGCGGTCCTATAGGGCAAAGTGGAAGTGGTATATAGGTTTGATTTTGCTGCTAAGTAGAGGTGTAATAGTCCTAGCAATTATCTAAAGTCTATATCCTAAATAGCTGGATTTAGCAATTTGGCGATTTACTAGGTGGTCTAGACTTAGCTTAGCTAGCTGAAAAGCGTATTTGTAGGTAGCTATATCTAGTCGTATTACAGGCGGTAGGAGGCTAGCTTTAACTTCTATAGCCTGAATTGGACTAGTCTGAAAAGTGCCTAGGATTTTACGTAGTGCTAAATTCTAGAGGTGCTATAGGTAGTCTTTTATGTATGCTTAGCCTTGCTACTAAATTAGTAATGCATAGTTGGATATGCTTATTATATAAGCTAAATACGGCTGTCTAAAGGCGGTAGGACTTAACCCTTGCTTACTATTAGCCAGCCTAGATATTTATCTAAATGCGGACTTAGCCTTAGCAGTGCAGATGGTGATATGCTCCTTAAATTATAATAGAGTATTAAAGTAAATGCTAAGCCACTTAACTATCTGCTTTAGGGGGACTATAGTCCCGTCTAGGAGTATAAGGGATGCTAGCTTAGCGCGTTTGCCTGTACTAAAGTGAATTAGTTTAGACTTTTTTAGGTTAAATTAGATTGCGTTTTTACTAGCTAGCTAAAAAAGCTCTTTAGCTACTAGCTGTAGTATCTTAACGTTTTTGCAGGGGCTAGTCGATATAAAAGAGAGAGTGATATCATCTATATAAGAGATAAATTTGACTGCATATGACCTAAATAGGCCTTGTATATAGATTAAGAAAAGGATAGGCGAAATAGGGCTTCCTTATAGGATTCCGGCCTAAATAGGCTAGTTTTCGTCTAATTATCCGTTAAATAGAAGCTTAAGTGACCGCCCGCTTATAAAGGATAAGACCCACTTAATGACCAAATCGGGAAAGGCTAAATCCTTAAGAATCGTAAGTAGCCGGTTCTTAGACACGTGGTTATATGCCCCTTTCACGTCTAGTAGAAGCGTACTAGTAATTTTATTTTAAAGCCGATTTATATGGACATAATCCGCTAGCATAGCGCCTGCGTCTATAGCCGACTTTTTAAGTCGGCCACCAATTTGGCTAGGATATAACAGATTTGGTATGGTTTTAGCTAAGTAAGCTAGTTGCTTAGCTAGGATCCTTTTGCTAACTTTTCCTAGGCAATTTAGGAGTGAAATAGGTTGATAGGCGCTAGGCTGTTTATAGTCTGGCTTGTTATTTTTGCGTAGTATAGCGCAGTTTGCTTGGCGTTAGCACTTCGGATGATAGCTAGTGTTTACTAGCGTCTTAAAAAGGAGTGAAATCTGGGAGGGGCATGCTAAATATGCGTGGGTGATAATAGTCTAAGTGATATAGTCCGGGCCGGGGCTAGTGGATTTAATTTCACTAGAACAGGCTTGTTTCACTTCGTCTAGTGCTAGCTTTAGCCACTGCCACTGCTCTAAGGCGGTGTATAACGTCCAATTCAGGCTAGCTGTTTCAGGAGGTGGAAGGAAAAGTGTCTGGCGGAAAAGGTTGCATTTAGCGGTAAATGTGGTTGCAAATTGGGTGGCAGAAAGCTTTAGATTTAGGACTAGCTCTAACCGCCTTGACTTTATATAGGCTAGGGCTTTAAAAATCGATTTAGAATCCTCTTTCTCTAAGAACTGGTTCTAGTGATCCTTTTTAGCCGTCTTGATAGCCTAAAAGTATGTATTGCGGGCGCTAGTATAGCGCTCATTTGATTAGCTGGAAAACGCTAGCTTAGAGGTCTCTCTAGCCCGATTCATGTTGCGTTAAAGTGATTTTAGTGAATCGTTCCACTAAGGCTTAGCGTGTGGCGCTAACCGGATTTGGGGTATGGCATTGTGTGCAGCACATAAAATGGCGCTAGTATAACGTTCCGCCATATCGTCCAGACGGTCTAGGGTTGCTTTATAGCTGCGTTTTGCGTTAATTTGTTCTAAGCTTTTTAAGCTTGAATTAGAGCTTAAAATGTAACTATAGGCCTGTAGCTCATTTTAGAGCGGTGATAGCTGGCAGAAAAGTTTTTCCCCGAATTTGGCCTAATCTGCCCGTTTTGTATTAAAACGGGTGGTTTATGGATCCGCTAGGCCTATTTGGGAACCTTTAATAGTAAATGTGATGCTAAAGTAATCAGAGCCTATATCGTCCACTATGGCCCAGTCCTAAATGTAATTAGCTATAGATTAATGCGCTAGCGTAAGGTTGATATTTGTCGGCCTAGCCATATGCGGATGATAGAAGGTGCTAATACTAGGGGTATTTAAGAGGGCTAAATCATAGTAGTCAATCCAGTCTGCTAGCGTGTTGCCTTCTTCGTCACGTGCCTTATATAGGGGGTCCCACCACGGGTTGTAGGCATTAAAGTCCCCGCAAAAGACCGAATCGAGAGGCAGTAAGAGCTGCTATAGGCACCTAGCTAGCGTACGGGTGTCCAAATCGGGTAATTAGTGCTTTTCGTTATAAATATTATAAATCTTAATCACGTGATCTTAATCTATAACGTCTAGGACTTAGAAGTCTGAGTCGTTTGGCGAATCCAAGGCTAGGACGACCCTAGGGCGGTATAACCTGGCAATATAAGCCATTGTGCGTGGTGTGATATCTAGGCTAGGCCTATTTAGGAAGAGTTGGGTGAATAAGGGGTGGGAAATCGATTGTATTTCGTCTGAATCGCGTATAATAAAAGGCTCTTGAACTAGTATAATGTCTATATCTAGCTTAATTGCTACTTATAGCGCGGATTCCGTATTATAGGCGGCTATATTCAGATTCACTTGGAGGATTTTAGTGCTAGCGTCTATCATAGAGAGGACGTGGGAGCCTTTAAGTGAATGCTCTAATAGACTTCATATAGAGCGGAGCTAGCTGCATGTGGACCTCCGCAATTAGCGCATTTGTATGTCAGGTGATCACACCTACCCTTAGCATTGCATATAGAGCATACGTGTTATTTCGTCTGATAGGCTTCACCGCATAGCTAGCACTTAGCCTCTTTACAGCAGTAGTGCTCTAAATGGCCATAGCCCTAGCACCTGATGCATTAGGCGGTGGGACGTGTCGTATAGTGTTTTTCGCATCGTATAGAAATGCCAGCTATATATAGCCTATTTCAGACGGCCGCGCTAGCCTCTTCAGGCGTAGCAAATGCAATTGCTACAGATCCAGCTATCTATTTTAGGCGATTTTCAGCTGATATGATCCAGTATAGCTGTCCTAAAGGGGTTAGACCCTTATTAAAAGTCCGTATTTCGTCCTTAACTAGCTCCATGCCTTCCAGACGGTTGAAAATAGAAGTGAGGATCCCGTGGGCGACGATTTTATGCCATGTAACGTCTTTCTAGGCGGTGTAGCCTAGCATTAAATGCATCCAGATATCAGATTTGGCAAGTAGGAAGTCAGCTGAGTAAGCCTCTATAGTTATGACCACTAGATTGGCCTAAAGGGACTTAGACACTAAAAGCACCACAGGGTCTTTTACTCCTTTGCTAGCAAAAGCTCTATTTAGAGCATTGCGGGCGGTAAGAGGCTAAAAATCGTTATTTTGGACCATAGTATCCTTAATTAGGATCACGCGGCGGCTGGTAAGAGGCTTCTTTATAGCTAGCTTTAGTAGTAAGGACTTTTTAGCAGAATTAACCAAAATCCAGTCCGAATCAGGGTTAGCGGACTCGGCTGCGGCTGCATATATCCGATTTTAAGTGGTTTTCAGCTGGGAAGCGATTTTCAGCCTGTTTAGGCGGTCTAAGACGGCTGCGCTAGGCCCTTTCGGGTTGACTTGCAGGCAGGTAGTCGGTTTCGGGGCAATTTGCCAGGCGGTGGCTTCTAGCTTTTAACTAGCGGATTCCATATGCGTAATCTTATTAGCTAAAATAGCTAAAACCTTCTTAATAGAGCCTTTTTCGAGGTATTTGCGGAAGATTTTAATTAAATCAAGTATTTGGTCCTATTTTAGGCGGTCTGGTTCGGCAGCCGCGGCTTTAACTAGGAGGTCACGTGCCTCTATAATAGCCTTATTTAAAGGTGAATCTATAGTAAACCTTAGATTTTTGGCCGGATTAGGAAGCAGTATAGCTGGCCTCTTCTTTATAGTAAAGGTAAAAGCGTTGCTATAGTGACCGTTTTATTGTTTATTGACATTTTAGTAGCTACGGCTAGTAGAAGGGGCTGTATATATAAAAATAGATGCGTCTAACGCGACTTTTAGCTAGTCGCTATCCCACGCTAGGCCTTCTAACTTGTCTGTACTAAATGATGTATTATATGTGGTATCTATTACTATATTGTTATCTTCTGCCGCTCTAGACCGCAGGGGTGGGAGGGCAGGGGGGGAGGAGGGAGGAGGAGGCGGTCGGGAGGCCTTTAGGGTCAAAAACCCTTTAGATGACCCGCATTCACTCATTTTCCTAGTGAGAACCATAAGGGTAGGCTTAAAAGAAAGCTGAGATCAAGGCGGTTAATATACTGGCGCGATCATTTAATTTGGACGGTTGTGGCAAAAGTTATAAGTGAATTCGTGAAATCGTAAAGAGTTGTCATATGATAATATAGTAATAGATATCACATATAATGCATCATTTAGTATAGACGAGCTAGAAGGCCCGGCGTGGGATGGCAACTGGCTAAAAGTCGCGTTAGACGCGTCTATTTTTATATATATAGCTCCTTCTACTAGCTATAGCTACTAAAATATCAATAAATAATAAAATAGTCACTATAGCAATGCTTTTACCTTTACTATAAAGAAGAGGCTAGCTATACCACTTCCTAATCCGGCTAAAAATCTAAGGTTTACTATAGATTCACCTTTAAATAAGGCTATTATAGAGGTATATAACCTCCTAGTTAAAGCTGCAGCTAAACCAGACCGCCTAAAATAGGACCAAATACTTGATTTAATTAAAATCTTCTACAAATACCTCGAAAAAGGCTCTATTAAGAAGGTTTTAGCTATTTTAGCTAATAAGATTACGCATATGGAATCCGCTAGTTAAAAGCTAGAAGCCACCGCCTGGCAAATTGCTTTAAAACCGACTACCCGCCTGCAAGTTAACCTAAAAGGGCCTAGCACAGCTATCTTAAATTACCTAAACAGGCTAAAAATCGCTCCTTAGCTAAAAACCACTTAAAATCAGATATATATAGCTACAGCTAAGTCTACTAACCCTAATTCGGACTAGATTTTAGTTAATTCTGCTAAAAAGTCCTTACTACTAAAGCTAGCTATAAAGAAGCCTCTTACTAGCTGCCGCATAATCCTAATTAAGGATACTATAGTTTAAAATAATAATTTTTAGCCTCTTACCGCCTATAATGCTCTAAATAGAGCTTTTACTAGCAAAGGAGTAAAAGACCCTATAGTGCTTTTAGTATCTAAGTCCCTTTAGGCCAATCTAGTAGTTATAACTATAGAGGCTTACTTAGCTAACTTTCTACTTACTAAATCTAATATCTAGATGCATTTAATACTAGGCTACACCGCTTAGAAAGATATTATATAGTATAAAATTATTACCTATAGGATTCCCACTTCTGTTTTTAACTATCTAGAAGGCATAGAGCTAGTTAAGAATGAAATACGGACTTTTAATAAGGGTCTAACCCCTTTAGGATAGCTATACTAGATTATATTAGCTGAAAACCGCCTAAAATAGATAGCTAGATCTATAGTAATTGCTTTTGCTACGCTAGAAGAGGCTAGCGCAGCTATCTAAAATAGGCTATATATAGCTGGCATTTCTATATAATACGAAAAACACTATATAACACGTCTTACCGCCTAATGCACTAGATGCTAGAGCTATAGCCACTTAGAGCACTACTACTATAAAGAGGCTAAGTGTTAGCTATATAGTAAAGCCTATTAGATAAAATAATATATATGCTCTATATATAATACTAAGGGTAGATGTAATTACCTAATATATAAATGCACTAATTATAGAGGTCTATATATAGCTAGCTCTGCTCTATATAAAGTCTATTAGAGCATCTACTTAAAGGCTCCCACGTCCTCTCTATAATAGATGCTAGCACTAAAATCCTCTAAGTGAATCTAAATATAGCTGCCTATAATATGGAATCCGCGCTATAAGTAGCAATTAAGCTAGATATAGATATTATACTAGTTTAAGAGCCTTTTATTATATGCGATTTTACATGTCGCGTCGAATAAAAAACTTTTCCGATTT